TTGTTGACAATTGGGCCCTGTTTTATCATTGCTTCTTGGGGACAGAGTTTCCATCACTGAAAGTCCTGTCTCTGCACTGGCTATGATTCTAAGCTCCTCAGCAGATTCTGAAGTGCAATCAGGGTTGAGAATCACAGATAGGGTATGTGTGCAGGAGGATGAATGCTGATTTTACTTCATTCCGTCCCCACTTACTTGGCAGTATCAGGCTTTGGGCACAGGGTTGAGGATATCAAGAAACTGAGATCCTCCCTCTCCTTCAGTGCTCACAGGCAGTGGGAAAGACCAGAAAGGAAACTAATTAGAGTGCTATTACTGTGTGCACTCAGGAATGGGCAACACTGGGCTTGGGAGTACAGTTAGCCTACAGCTAACTTCATTGTCTTGAAACTTGCTGATGGGCTGGCAGAATATTTTCAGAAACTAACATAGCTATTAAGCAGATCTTACACTTTTTGTGTGTGTGTGCACTTTCTTTTATATGGTATGAATAAATTTATTTATCCTGGGGGACCTAGGACAGTTCCCAAAAATGATATAGTAATTCTAAACATCATTTTAAGGAGCCAGCATTTTACTTTATAAAGTTTAATCCAGTGGGTTTTTTAAATGCTTTATTTTATTATTATTATTTTATTTTCAACAGGACTGTGATGATTTCATAGCCTTAATTTATGTGAATAATTTCAAGAATAATCAATGTTCTTGGGGACAGTGTGCCATCATGCATGGTCTCCAAAATGGAGATTTCATGAAGGCAAAGGGTGAGGAAGAAATATTAGAACTTCAAGTTTTTTTTTTACAAATAGAAATTGTTCTCTAAATATTTTTACTTACTGAATTTTTTAAGTGATAATATTTATACAGCAATATATGCATAAAGGAATCTTGGTGTGGCATTGCGGGTTAATGCACTGGACTGCAAGTTCCGCTTGAACCAAAGGTCTGTGGTTCAAGCTCACCAGTCACTCCTCAGAAACCTTGTACAGGGTCATTATGAGTTGGAATCGACTAGACAGCATATAACTACAACAATATATGCATAAACGACTCTTGGTATGGAGCTTTAGGATCAGCAAACCACAAGGTCAGCAGTTCAAACCCAACCAGGTGCTCTTCAGAAACCCTATACAGGTTCTCTATGAGTCAGAACAGACTCAACGGCACTAAACAGCAACATATGCACAAAAGGAGCCCTGATAGCATAATGGATTATGAGCTGAGCTCCTAATGGTAAGGTGAGCATTTCAAATCTACCAGGTACTCCACAGGAGAAAGATGAGGCTTTCTGCTCCCATAAAGATTTACAGCCTCAGAAACTCTAGGTAGGGTCACTATGAGTCGGAACTGATTCCATGACACACCACCACCACCAGATACATAAAGGAACTCTTGGTGTGGGGTTTTAGGATAAGTACTGGACTGCTAACCACAAAGTTGGCAGCTCTAACACACTAGCAACTCTTCAGAAACCCTATACAGGGTCGATATGAACCGGAACCAATTCGACAGCACTTAGCAACCACAACATGAACTCAAACACAAAGACTGGAGAATGCTGGTGTAGTGGGAAGATCAGTAAGCTGAGATGCTTGTTAGTCCGAATCCAGCTTCTAGCATGGTGTGTGAACAGGGCGAACTGTGAAGAGTCTCTCAGTTTTGGTTTATTTCTGCTCCTGTGTAATGAGACATCTCTTCCATGCCTCCATGTCTAGCAGTGGTTTTCTCCTTGCTTTTCCTCTTATGCTCATTATGTAGTTGCAAAAGCAGAAGGTGAGTTTTTTTCTGTTCAATCTTTGAACTGGACTCAGATGTAAGTCTATTTCATAGGTTTTCTGATCCTGCAAAGATTTAAAAGTCTCGGAAACCCTATACAGGATCATTATGAGTCGGAACCAACTTGTCAACACAACAACAATGGACTACTTCCCGAGTGCTTTATATACCTTGGCTACATCGTTCTCTGTATTGTTGCAGGTCACAGATGTGGTGAGGTTATTAATTTTATATCTGTTGACTCTAGATATTCCAACAGAGGACAAAGCACAAGGAGGAGCAGAGTACAAAAAGGTGCCCCTGGACACCGTCACAGACCCATGGGGACACATATAAATCAATCTTTACCTATTGCTTAACTTCTTTAGTGCCTTCATTAATGCCTTGAAACTCAAAGGTACAAGATTTAAATTCAGTACATAAAAATTCATATGATAGACACTGGACTGGGAACCACAAGGTCGGCGGTTCAAGTCCACCAACTACTCTGAGGGAGAACGATGAGGCTTTCTGGTCCCACAGAGATTTACAAGCCTGGGAAACCCTGTATAGATAGGGTCACTATGAGTCAGAACTGATTCAATGTCTCTTAACAACACAAAAGTCTTAGGTGTAGTTCCAACACATCCATACATAGCAAGTTTACTCTCTATTCAGAAAGCAAACTATTAGAGGATTATTTTTAAATTTTTGATAAAATCTGAGAAATGAGATCTTTAAGTTTAAAGAAATTTCAAATTTGAACATTCTATTTAACTCTTTTTAAAACATAATTCAACTGAAAAATCTGCTAGAGGAAGATGTTGGACCTCAGTGTTGATGGTTTATAATGAAATAGACTATTCACAGTTATTCTTCAAATAAGCAGTTGCATTGATTTTTACAGGGTCAGTTTCTTAAAACTTGGTATTATTTTAATTTAGTATTATTTGTTGGCTAATGAAATCTGAGCTAGAAACTGATGATAATGCCATGACTTTTTGCCATAAAATTAAACTATTAAAAATCAGCTGTTGTGATTTGCCTGTGAGAATGGAATCACCACATTCTGACATGCTCTGGATAATAGTTGCACCAATTGAAAGATTTGTATTAAAGTAAAAATGACAGAAAAAGGAAAAACAGAACAAAAAGAATGACAATTCACAGTTGCTTAGATGAAAATACACATGGAAAGATTTGAGTTCAGAAGAATATAATTATAAACAACTAGAATGGAATACAGAAGAAAGAGCAAAATCAGAAAACAAACAAACAAGGCAAATGAGAAAATTCAAGTCTTCTAGAATAGACAAAAAGTGAAATTCTTCAGCTCTGTGATTTGATTTGATTTCATTTGTATACAGGTAATAGTAATCGAATACAAGAGTGAAGGAAAATACCACTTTAAACTTAGATCTGTATAAGCACAGCTTGTACTTTGGTGACCTGTTGGGGTATAGAATGCAGTCATTTTGCTCCTGCCTGGAACAGCCAGCCAGGAACAAATTTCACTCAGGCTTCCAAGTGGGAACGAATCCACAAGCTTACATTCAAGGTTCTAACCTTTAGATCTAATGTTGATCCTGAGATTAGAGCTAGATATTCACTCTAGGGAAGAAGGTAGCTAATGTGTGAGGAAGACTGGTCACCTCCATTGCTCCAGTCAGGAGGTTCAAGGCAAAAGCCACCGGAGCACCAGCGTGCCTACTGCCCCTGCGAGCTCTGCACTGATGCTTCTGGTTAGGCAGAGGGTACACCCCCATCCCTGCATTGTTACGTGTCCACTTTGTAATAGGTGTATGTATGCCTGGCTTCTTCTTTCAATTTTGGTAACCCTTTGCATTTCCAAATGACTTTCCAAGGCTAACACGTAGACAGGTGTAGATGGCAGGCATTTCTCTCTCTCACCGCACAGGTTGCTTTCTTCATGTCATACCGCTCAGTCTTCATTTTCTCTTCCAAGTTCCTCTAGACCCAGGGGCTTTTACCTTTTTTACATTAAACTTTTTATGATCAAACAGTTTTAGATTTACAAAATATTACAAGGATAATACAGAGATTTCCTGGACAAGCAATACCCAGTTTTCCCCATTGTTGAAAACGTTCACTGCCATGCACAACTGCAGCTCTGGACCCAGAGCTCAGGCATAGCTCTCATGAACTCCTGAAGTTTATACAAAGTGTGACATGATTGTGGGGAAACACATGTTTTGTGAGAAAAGTTAATAACTTTAGATTAAGATTATAATTTTAGCTTTCTCAGTTCTTTTTCTTTAGTTGCGATTTCTGCTTTCACATTTCGTGTCCCAACAATGAATGTTATGGCTTCTTAGACCATTGTTCTTGTTAGCTGCCACTGAGTCAGCTCTAGGTTGTTGTTGTTGTTGTTATGTGCCATCGAGTCTAGGTACTGCAGAGTCAAATCACTCCTTAGGGTTTTCTTACCTGTAGGATTTACGGAAGCAGTTTGCCAGGCCTTTTTTCCACAGAACTGCTGGGGGATGGTAGGATTGAACCACTAAACTTTAAAGTAACACCTGATCACAAACTGCACCATCCAGGCTCCTACATTAACTACTTCAAAATGCACATTTGAACCAGCGTACACATTTTTGTGTCTAACAGAACTGACCAAAGCATTGTTTATCAAACCGTATAATTTCTTGACTCACCCAATGCTGTGTGCTCACTTAATATACATACAGTAACTCTGTGTTTGATTAAGCCCAGTGTTTCTTTAAAGGAGGATTCTGTCTTCGGCACCATCTCAACGTGCACACTGGGAGCCTCTGCATCTAAATCGCCTGCGCTTCCTATTAGAAGCTGTAGAATCTTGGGCCCTTAAGCAGAAAAAAATGTGCATTCTTAAAAATCCCCCAAACGGATTTGGGTGAACAATATATCAAAACCATTTATATAGACTGCCTGAATTCTACACCTTAGCTTAACAACCAAGGCTATTTGGGACTGTTATAAAGTGTTTTCGCCTTGGCACTTTGAGAGAAGAGGGAAAAAAAACATGGGATTTCTAGAGACCTGTTTTCCTATTGTGCCTTCATAGAATGCTTTATTTGAGGTCTTTCCAACTCCACTTTAGTTCTAACAATAAAAGAGAAATATAGCAGTAGGATTTAGGATTCAATGAAGCCTCTCTCACAATCTTTTATCAGTACTTTGAATATTTTAAATGCTTTTTATTTTTTGCCATTGTCTAATGCGAAGGGTTTTGTTTCAGAATTACAGATTCTAGTCTGCTGTTAGAAGGCTATTCATCCAAGTTGAGTCCCCAAACCAAGAGAGCCAAGAAGAGCCTGCTTTCCGGACAGGAGAAAGAGAATCTGCCCAGTGATTACATGGTGCCTATTTTCTCAGGACGGTACGGCGCTCACTCTTCCCAGGCTTGGTTATTTGAATGTGGGGTGTGAATGTTGTCAAAGTAGATAATGAATAATAGTAATAATGAACAATTATTGAGAACTTACTGTGTGCTCAACCCTATGCTACTGTCTGTACATCTGAGGAAACCTAGTCCGTTCAAAATCTCTGCCATCACTACACAACAGAAGAGAATGACGGAAACATAATACTAGTTTTAGAATTAGTTGAAATTGAAGTAGAGCATTTGAACACCAGTGTTCAAACACGATACACAGGCACTCCAATTAGAAAAGAATGAAAGGTTTGAAACTGTAAAATGGTGAACTTAAGAGAAATCAGATGTTTTGTTTAGGTAAATCAAAGACAGTTTGGCTGTCAGTGTAGTTTTATTAATTATTAGTAGGGAAAAAAACTTCTATGACACAGACTAAAAGAATTGCACAATAATTCAAATGCCTGCTTTATATGGCTTGAAAGAGATTATTATTTATTTTGAGGCAAACATCAAGCAAAATAAGTAATACAATTCTATGAAATGCCAATTTTCTATGTTTATGATATAAAATCTTTTCTTTGAAGGTTATTAATATCCAGTGTGATATTGACAGGAAACTTGCCAGAGACTCTAAGATGAACATTTCATAGGAGTTTTCCGGCCTTTCCTTTGTGTGGAGAGTTACTCACGTAGTTTAGGGGACACTCCAAATGAAGTCATCCTGCCAGGGCAAACGCCATCAGGAAATGTCATAGAAAAGTAGATTTTGACTGAAGTCAGAAAGAAATAATTGGATTGTGATTTTTGGTAACCTAACTATTGTCCTGTGTTTCTCATTCCATTGTTCTCTGACTCTTCCTTTTTGAATTGTTTCAGAGGTTAATATAACAATTGCTCTGAACCTAACTGGAGACATAAGGGGATAACTAATATTCTATTTTTAGCTTTTTATTGGATGTTTTTGACAGCTCTGGCTTTATTAAAGTGAACTCTCTGGGAGAAGCTATTTATACTTCTAAGTATGATTACTCAGACTTAGATTCTTCACAAAGTTAGTTTAATATTCACTCATATTTATTATAGGAGACAACTAGGTTAGAGGAGTAAAATACTGGTGTTTTCTGCTTTATTTGTGGGGAAGAAAGTCATTTAAAAACCACATAACTTAGCATCTGCTGACATGCTCTGTGCCTATGATGTAGGCTTTGCTCTCTTCATGTCCACTCCTGGATCTTTTCGCATCAAATATTGTAGCTCTCCTAGGCCAAAAATGATCATTTACAAAGTAATATCTGATAAAATAAGAAGTGAATGAAAATTGACCTTCTAGGTTTTGTTTTATTTTAGTTTTTTCTGGTATGGACCCAATTTCATATGTTCTACTACAGTGTTGGAAAGAATAGTTCATAAGACCATTGGCGATATGAACAATCTAAGAAAAGAATGGGAAAGAAACTAACATTTCCAGTAGGAAGTTCAGAGTTGAGGCCATCAGTGATATTCTTAGTACTTGGGAGGTTTATATATCTATGCATTTTAAATATGCAGTAGTACACTTTTGTCAACATCTCACCTCATATTTTTGCTCTGGGCTCAGCTAATAGAAGAGTCACTAATGATATGTATTTATAATTAGTTAAAGAAGTTCTGGTGTGGCTCCGTAGGATAGGCAGGAGACCACAGGGTCAGCAGTTCGGACTCACCACTTCTTGGAAACCATATGCAGGGTTGCTATGAGTCAGAACCAACTCCACAACACTAAACAACAACAACAACAACAATCCTTGTTCTCTTGTGTCAAACAAATATGTCAAAATACATATTCAAGTTCTCATATGAAATAGTTAGTGGTTTGCAGTTCATTTAATTTGTAACTGCAAGGCAAGGTGGTAGTGGATGTCTCTTGCCCTCTAGAGTGCTGCCCGCAGATCTACTGTTGGAAGTAGTGTGAGGTTACTCTTAAGAGTTCTCTTACATAGGGCTGTCTCAGTTCAGGGCAACACTAGCACTGCATCTGGTTAGTTACTGTGCATACACACCTTCGATCATACTGCAAAGCTCAGTTCAATCTCTCTACATTGTATATTGACCTCTACAGAGAATTCTAAACACATTCTTGCTATACTTTGTTTTGTATTCATTTATTAATAATTCACTGATTTCCTATCTCATCAAAAAACAAACAAACATTAAAGCTAATTATGTTGTTGTTGTTGTTGTTAAGTACCGTCGAGTCGGTTCCGACCCATAGCGACCCTGTACAGGGTTTTCGAGGGTGTAAATCTTTATGGGAGTAGAAAGCCTCATCTTTCTCCCGTGGAGCAGCTGGTAGTTTCGAACCGCTGACCTTAAGGTTCGCAGCCCAATTCGTAACCACTACGCTACCAGAGCTCCTTATATTAGAACCATAAAAATCAAAAGCTGACATCTTCCTTTTATTTATTTTGCTAAATTGAATAGTGGCTATATTACTGATTTATTAGTTGTTGTTGTTAAATATCATTGAGTCAGTTCCCATTCATAATGACCCTGAATAGGGTTTCCTAGGCTTTAAGTCTCTGTGGGAACAGAAAGCCTCATCTTTATCCTGCAGAGTGGCTGGTGGGCTTGAACTACCAATCTTGTGGTTCACAGTCCAGTCCTTATTCTATAGAGCCACTGTGCTTAATAAGTAGACAGTTTCTTATTGTTTGGGGAGGCAAATGTAAGGAAAAAGAAATGAAAATTTACTCACTAAATTTAGTAAGAAACAAAGTTGATGCCTATCCATTGCTCTAGTAATATTCCATAAGAATGGGAATTCCAGGACATTTAATTGTGCTCATGTTGAACCTGTACATAGATCAAGAGGCAGTTAGGGATACTAAATGGTTTAAAATCAAGAAATGTTTATGTCAGGATTGTATCCTTTCACCATACGTATTCCATTTGTATGCTAAGCAAAAAAATCTGAGAAGCTGGACTAGATGAAGAATGTGACATCGGTATGCATTATACCTCAATGTAAAGAAAACAAAAACCTTAACAACTAGACCAAGAAGGAACATCATGCTAAACAAAGAAAAGATAGAAGTTGTTAAGGATTTTTACTTGAATCTACTATCAATGCCCATGGAAACAGCAGTCAAAAATTCAAATGGCCATATTGCTTTGGACAAATCTGCTGCAAAAGATCTCTTTAAAGTGTTTTTTAAAAAAAGCAAACAAACCCAAAGATGTCATTTTGAGGACATAGGTGCACCTGACCCAAGCCTGGGCATTTTTCAATTACCTCATATTTATGTGAAAAATGGACTATGAATAAGGAAGATTTTTTTTAAAAAACTGATGTATTTGAATTATGGTGTTGGTGAAGAATATTAATATACCATGGATTACCAGAAGAACAAAGAAATCTGTTTTAGAAAAAGCATAGCCAGAATGTTCCTTAAAAGTGAGGACAGCAAGACTTCTCATGAACTTTGGACATGGTTTCAGGAGGGACCAGATACTGGAGAAGGACATCATGCCTGGTAGAATGTTGGCAAAAAAGAGAAAGATTCATAACAAGATGAATTGACACAATGGCTGTAACAATGGACTTGAATACGGAAATGTTTGTGAGGCTGGCGCAGGATGGGCAGTGTATTGTTCTGTTACACATAGGGTCACTATGAGTCAGAACCAACTTGATGGGGTCTAACAACAACTCATCGGTCAGTTTGCTGTACTGTGGTGGCTTGTGTGTTGCTGGGCTGCTGAAAGCAATGCCACCTATATTTTAAATACAGTGCATCACCCATGGTAGACAGGTTTCAATGGAGAACCTTTTAAGATCAGTCTTGAAATACAATGCTGTCTGTGACAAGATAATATCCGTATGCCTACAAGGAAGACCTAGTGTGGCGCTGTAGGCTATGCTCAGGACGCAATGTCATTTTGAGCCATAAAGTGGATTGTTCAAGCTCACCGGCCACTCCTCAGAAACCCTAGACTAGGTCACTATGAGTTGGAATCAACTTGATGGCATTTAACAACAACAACAACAAGGAAGACCAGTTATTATTCAGATTTATACACCAACCACTAAAGTCAATGATGTTGATATTGAAGAACTCTATACGCCAGACTCAAGGAAGCAGCAGTCAAGAAATCAAATGACGTATTGCATTAGGCAAATCTGCTGCACAAGACCTTTTTAAAGTGTTGAAGAGCAAAGA